CAGCACACTACTACACACACAGTCATACAGCATTCTACTACACACACTTTCATACAGCACTCTACTACACACACTTTCAAAAAAGCACACTACTACACACACAGTCATACAGCAATTTACAAAGTACTACACACACAGTCATACAGCACTCTACTACACACACAGTCATACAGCACTCTACTACACACACTGTCATACAGCACTCTAGTACACACACATTCTTACAGCACACTACTATACACACTTTCATACAGCACTCTACTACACACACATTCTTACAGCACTCTACTACACACACAGTCATACAGCACTCTACTACACACATTTTCATACAGCACACTACTACACACACAGTCATACAGCACTCTACTACACACACATTCTTACAGCACTCTACTACACACACAGTCATACAGCACTCTACTACACACATTTTCATACAGCACACTACTACACACACAGTCATACAGCACTCTACTACACACACATTCTTACAGCACTCTACTACACACACAGTCATACAGCAATTTACTACACACACAGTCATACAGCACTCTACTACACACACAGTCATACACCACTCTACTACACACACTTTCATACAGCACACTACTACACACACTTTCATACAGCACTCTACTACACACACATTCTTACAGCATTCTACTACACACACAGTCATACAGCACTCTACTACACCCACTTTCATACAGCACACTACTACACACACAGTCATACAGCACTCTACTCCACACACATTCTTACAGCACTCTACTACACACACTTTCATACAGCACTCTACTACACACACTTTCATACAGCACTCTACTACACACACTTTCATACAGCACACTACTACACACAGTCATACAGCAATTTACTACACACACAGTCATACAGCACTCTACTACACACACAGACATACAGCAATTTACTACACACACAGTCATACAGCACACTACTACACACACAGTCATACAGCAATTTACTACACACAGTCATACAGCACTCTACTAGATCTCTACAAAGCTAATTGAACAAATCATTCTAAAGTGACTAATCAGAGCTTTATCACATTCATACTCTGATGGGACACACATCAGCGGCTATGAGGGGTTCAGTGTCTTGCCCAGGGACACTTCACCATGTGTCTGCTGGTGGATTAAAACCCCCAACTCTCTCATTGGAGGACGACTGCTCTAACCACTCAGCCACAGCCGCCCCAACTAGAGCTGAAAACAAAACCAGTCAGAAATACCAAACAGGTAACAAGTCAAGTCCAAGGGTTGTCAGGGCATCAAAACATAGAGAGGAACAGCTCAAATTATTGCAAGTCACACCCAACCCTTTTGGAGTTAGAGCAAGTCTTAAACTAATGAATTAGCTTTGTGAGAGCAGACAGTTGGTCCAGAGAGAAAACCGAGGGCAAAAGACTGGGTATGAAGGTAGATACTATACATGTATGTTGCAATTGTTGTGAACTTGTAACTTGTGTCTACATTTTCAGTACAACTTGAATTCAAAGTTACAACTTCTCAAATCTTCTTCTTGGAGTGCTCAACTCTCCTTCGGCACAGGTGACTCCTCTCCTGCAGGTGCATGGCTGTCAGTGTGTGACACTTTGGCTACCCTTTTTGCAGGTTGCTTGTTGCAAAACAGAAAATGTGCAAGAAGGTCGAGGGAGGGGGAGTGTTGCTAGGACAACGGGAGGGCATTCTATGCCAACCAGTCAGAATACCATACCATACCACTTTATTTATAAAGCACTTAAAACAGCAACAAGGCCAACCAAAGTGCTGTACAGACAAAACAACAGGTAACACACAAAGCAAAATACAAAATGAGGTAAATCAGAATATAGACATAAAAACGATGCAGATAATGACGACAAACCAGTGTGGAGCATACAGGATAAAAACACAGATCATCTTGTGTTGAAAGCTATTGAATAGTAGTGAGTTTTTAAACGGGACTTGAAAACCGAGAGGGAGGGGGCCTGTCTGACAAGCAGAGGTAACTCGTTCCAGACTCTTGGTCCTGCTACAGAGAAGGCCCTGTCACCTCTGCGCTTACGACGAGTTCCTGGAACTGTGAGGAGCAACTGGTCCGCTGACCTCAGGGAGCGTGGTGGGACATACGGTTGTAGCAAATCAGAGAGAAGGGGGGGCGACACTGTCCAGTGATTTGTAGACATACATGAGTATTTTGAACTGGATTCGAAAGTGAACCGGTAACCAGTGCAGGGAGGCCAAAACTGGTGTAATGTGCTCTCTTTTGCCTGTACTGGTTAAAAATCGGGCTGCTGCATTCTGGACCAGTTGTAGTCGTGCAATGGAGGTCTGACTGATACCAAACAGGAGCAAATTGCAGTAATCAAGCCTAGATGTAATGAATGCATGTATTACGGTCTCCAGGTTCTTTTTGGACAATATGGGCTTCAGTTTAGACAGCCGCCTCAGTTGGAAGAAGCATGATTTCACAATCGTTCACATGATTGTTAAGTTTCAGGGAAGGGTCCATTATCACGCCCAGATTAGTGACTCTTTGTTTTTCTGACAGGGTTAGAGCGGAAAGGTCGATGCAGTGGTTTGTGATCGTGTCGTTGGGAGGGAACAACATGACTTCAGACTTCTTTTCATTGAAACTTAAGAAATTTAAAGCCATCCAGTCCCTGATGTCAGCCAGGCAGTTGAGCAGTGGTTGAATAGAGCATGTACCATTGTGTCTTAGGGGGAAGTAAATTTGACAGTCATCGGCATAGAAGTGGAAGGGCATGTTGTGTTTCCGGAAAATAGCACCAAGTGGCAGCAGGTATAAAGAGAATAGGAGGGGACCCAGTATGGACCCCTGCGGAACCCCCCATTTAAGCTCTGCCTCTGCGGAACTCAAATCCTTGATGGAGACACAAAAGGATCTGTCAGTGAGGTAAGATCTGAACCAATTGAGGGCTGATCCTGTGACGCCCACCCACTGCTCCAACCTAGCAATGAGGATCTCATGGTCGATGGTGTCAAAGGCGGCTGTGAGGTCCAACAGAACAAGCAGCACAGAATCACCGGTATCTGTGAATCTGAAGATGTCGTTAAAGACCTTCAGCAGGGCAGTTTCAGTGCTATGGAGAGGTTTAAAGCCAGATTGGAATAGCTCTAAGATGGCGTGATCCTCCAGGAAGCACTTCAACTGGGACTTGACTATTTTCTCCAGTAGTTTAGAAACAAATGGGAGTTTGGAGACAGGCCGGTAGTTGGAAACGACTGAGGGGTCAAGGTTTGGTTTTTTCAGGAGAGGCTGGACAGCAGCATGTTTAAAGTTATTTTGGCACCATGCCAGTGGATAAACTACTGTTTGCTATGGCAAGAATGGACGGACCTAGAGTAGGAAAAACCTCCTTTAGTAGTCGAGGGGGGACCACATCAAAGGGGGAGCCAGAAGGTTTCAAGCTGCACATGACCTGCTATAGAGAAAATAGAGTGATGGGTTCAAAATGGTCAAATGGAGCTACAGATTGAGGTGGGATGGATGGGTCATGAGTTGGAGGGGAAATGAGAGCCCTGGTGGTCGCAATTTTTTCCAAAAAGAAATGTAAGAAGTTGTCGCACAGCTCAGTCGAGGCTTCCAGAGGTGATGGTTCAGTGAGGTGGAGAACAGAGTTTAGGGTGGAGAAGAGGACATGTGGGTTGTGAGAGATTGAGGTAATTACATCAGAGAAGAATTTTGATTTAGCAGCTTTTACTGTTTTCTGATAACAGCGCCAACTCTCTTTAAGTATCTGGAAAGAGACCTGCAGCCTGACTTTCCTCCACTTTCGTTCCGCCCTCCTACATTGCTGCCTAACGGCCTTCGTGACATCACTCAGCCAAGGTTCTGCTCTGAGTTTTGATTTTTTGGTTTTAACAGACGCAACATGATCCAGAGTCTTTAAGCAGACAGAGTTGAACTGGTATGTCAGCTCCACAGTGGTGGTGAGAAACACTGGGGGCTGAATGATCATTTCAGAGTTATAAACATCTGTGAAACGTGCAGTAGTGAAGTGGTTAATGGTCCGGGTGCGACGTGCAGGAATGCAGGACTTAGGAGTTAGATGGGGGAGGGTGAACTCAAACCGGACTGGCATGTGGTCTGAAAAAACATTATCACCAATAACAAGATTATTAACAGTCATATCATGAGTTAAAACAAGGTCCAGTGTATGTCCACACTAAAAAGTCCTTAACCAAGGGCTTCTCAGGACAGCACACGTGCAAATTAAAGTCACCAATAATGAAAATATGCTCATATTTTGGTGTGATTTCAGCCAAGAAGTCAGAAAACTCATTTATGAAATCCTTAGACCGAGGTGGGCGGTAGACGAGTGCAAATAACGTCAGAGGTGAATGTCCGAGTTCAAAGACGCTCAGCTCAAAGCTGGCGCGGGAAACTGGGATGGGCAGTTGTTTACAGTCAAAAGTTGATTTGAATATTGTTAATAATCCACCACCGCGCCGGCCTGATGGCCGCGGGGCGTTAAAACACAGACAGTTCGGTGGCAGTAATTCCGTCAAGGCGCTGGACTCACTCGTAGACATCCAAGTCTTTGTGATGCACAGAAAGTCCAAATCGTGCTGTTGAAAGTAATCCCTGAGGATAAAAGTTTTGTTGGTAACAGATCTTGCGTTGACCAAACACATCCGGATATTGTCCAAAGTAGAGCCAGCAGTGGTAGAGTTAGTGCGCGCTAATGGCCGCAAGTTTTCAATAACAGCCCCTCCAGGTCGGTCCGGGCTGCGCACTGGCTGACAACTCCCGCTGGTTACCTGGTCCGGGCATACGGGCAGCTGGAGACCATGACCACAAGCTGAAGAGGAAGATGCAGCACGCAGAGCTTTCATCTTCACCAGCTGACCAGCATGTTTTCCCCGGCGTCTGAAGCGAGATCTCCGGGCAGGCAGGTGAGGAGCGCAGCGAAGGTAAGCTGGCACATCCGCCAGCAGGGGGGGGGGGGGGGGTCCAGAGGTACGCTGATAATGGTCAAAATAAGCGACTTCAGTGACAGAAAAACGAAGATCCAAAAGTTGTTGTCTGTCATACACCAGCAGAGAGTTGATGTCATTGATGAGGAATACAAAAAACAAAAATAATCCGAACACCATCAGCAGAGGTGGATTGCAAGCCATGTACATGGGCGCCATCTTACCAGAAGTCTACCGGAATGAGTGCTCCAAGCGTCACGTGACTACAGTCATTCAGACTCGGCCTCCTTCTGGATCAAACGTGGTCTCAATGGCAAATGACTATCTTTTCCTGATAGTCCTCCACTATCAGATTTTTTTTGTATGTCCTCGACAATACATGAAGTCCCTTTGTAACTCCTCTAGGATAATGTAATTCCCAATTGCCCAAGGTTCCCCAAACCCCTATTTTATTCTGTATGTCCCTGACAATACAGTGAAGCCCACAAACCCCCTTTTGATTAAATGATAGCCCCAGGCTATAACAGAGTCCCTTTGTGACTCCCATTTGAGATCCCCGATCTCCCAAATATAATAAAAATAACCTTCTCACCCTCTGTGCGTGACTCTGCTCTGGTTGGACACCCGTCACTTCACTCAAACCAACAGTAAATCTGGCCTTACTCAAATTTGCCAATTCCAGCCTGAGGACTTTCAGTTAAGCAAATTAAATCTCCCCTGTGCACGGTTCAGATCTAAGCCTGGAGGTTCGAGGTCAGATTTTGCATCCGGCACTTGAAGGACCAAAATGTTAGATAAAAATATTCTTTATTCATTTTACTTACTCAAAGTAGCTACACTTGAGGATACTAAAAGATTTTTAACTGGTTTTACTTGAAAGAGCAGACTTTCACAACAGGTTACACAGATGTACAGAAGTTACATGCATGGAGCCCAGTCATAAAAATCTGCCACAAGCAGCTTGTGAGATTTGTTTTTATAAGCTTATCAACTCTCACACCTTACAGGCAAACACTGAGGAACCTGGCCATCCAGCTGTACATTCAGAAGTAAATCAGTTCCTCATTCAACTGTCTTTCAGAGAAAAAAGAAATCACTCCTAACTCAAACACATGATTCATGGGAAGTTAACATTCTCTAGGTCAAGGTCGAGGTTTCTTTATTGTCATTTTCATCACATGTGGTACATGTGATGGAATGAAATTGTGTACACAGGGTCCCAGTTACATCCAACAAAGCATACATTGTAAAATATAAACAATAATAAGATCTAAGACATGAACTAAGAAATATGCTAAACTAAGAATACGCTAAGCACTGATAGTACAAAAACAATACATAGTAGTTAAAAACACTCATAAACCTTGACCAAAATCCCCTGACAACATTCATTATTTAGTATTTTTAACAGGTTTGACTAAAAAGGACATGTCCTACTTTAGAGTCCAGAGACAATAAATTCTATGTAATATTCTAACGTTCAGCTTGGTTGCTGTGAATTAGAAGCTAACTTTAGTGTCATTGAAAACACAAACATGTAAGGATGGCGCCATCTGGTGGGCCATCCTTGTCTGTACTCCCTAGTGTGTCTCCTCATTTACCCAATTAGTTTCAACCTTGTCTCATGCCAGCTGTTTGTAATCACATCTTATCTTTTCTGTGTATATAAGTCTATCTGTTAGACTTGTTCTTTGTTGCGTCGTCGTTGGGTCTACCCTGTCTTGTCCTGACCAGTCCTGATATGTACCAATCCTGACCTGATCCGTATTCCCAGTTTGTAAGTGTGCTGCCACATCAGCCATTTAATTTATTATCATTAAAAGTATTTATTTTTGTATATACTGAGTCTGAGTCTCTGCCTGCACCACTGGGTTCGTTCCTGCCTGAAAATCCTGGCAAAACAATAGCAGCTGGAACCATCCTAAATTTAAGTTTAAAGTAAATCACAAGTGAGCAGAGGATACTTTGTAAGGCTAGTCAACAGTCATTTTAATTTCTGACAGCTTTTTGTTCTTAACTGTCCTTCATGTTGCTGACATGAGACAGCACCACAGTCTCACAGTCTGCTGAGCTAGCTCCACATTTACTTTACTTTACTGTTCATAATAAAAGGTCTTTTTGGCGGGTGGGGGGGGGGGGGGGGGGGGGTTTACTTTGCTCACCTGAAGCAGGTAAAAAATGAACAGAAAGAAAGTTTTTAAAGACTCTGAGGTAAGCTGTTCCCAGCTTGATTCACCATATCATCAGTCGCTGGAGAGCTGAGATGGAGGTACAGTCTGACTGACTATAATCACGTGTCGCTTGGAGCACTCATTCTGATAGGTTAACATAGAATGCCCTCCCGTTGCCCTAGCAACACTCTCCGTTCCTCCATCAGTTTGTGTCTTCAAACAGGATGACTGTTTTCTTTCTGTCTCATTTGTTCTGTTTTTTCATCAGATGTTGCTCTGCAGGAAGTTTTAGATGAACACAAGGCCAGTCTGAGGAGGAGATTTGAATGTGTGACTGAAGGGAGTGATGAAACAGGAAGTAGAACCCTACTGAACAGGATCTACACCGAGCTCTACATCACAGATGGGCAGAATGAGGAGGTTAATACCCAACATGAGGTGAGGCAGCTGGAGACTGCTTCTAAAATCAAGAACTTTCATGACACTCCAATCAGGTGTCAAGACATCTTTAAAGCCTTACCTGAGCAACATGGATTTATCCGAGTGGTTCTGACCAACGGCGTCGCTGGCATTGGAAAAACCTTCTCGGTGCTGAAGTTCACTCTGGACTGGGCTGAAGGCTTGGAGAACCAAGATGTGGGCGTGGTGGTTGTGCTTTCGTTCAGGGAACTGAACTTGATCAGAAATGAGCAGTACAGTCTTCTCACGCTGCTCCATGTTTTCCATCCAACATTACAGAAGCTCCCAGCAGAGAAGCTGTCTGTCTGTAAACTTCTATTCATCTTTGACGGCCTGGATGAAAGCAAACTCTACCTGGATTTCTCCAACAGTCAGCTACTTTCTGATGTGACGCAGAAGTCCTCACTCAATGTGCTGCTGACAAACCTCATCAAAGGGAACCTGCTGCCCTCGGCTCTGGTCTGGATCACTTCCAGACCTGCAGCAGCCAATCAGATCGCTCCTTCATGTGTGGACAGGCTAACAGAAGTACGAGGCTTCACCGATGCCCAGAAGGAGGAGTACTTCAGGAGGAGGTTCAGTGATGAAGAGCTGTCTAGCAGGATCATCTCTCACATCAAGACCTCCAGGAACCTCTATATCATGTGTGGAATCCCAGTTTTCTGCTGGATCACTGCTACAGTTCTGGACCACATGTTGACTACAGAGCAGAGAGGAGAGCTGCCCAAGACCATGACTGACATGTACTCACATTTCCTGCTGGTTCAGACAAACAGGAAGAAGAAGAAGTACCATGAAGGACCTGAGACCAGTCCACAGGAGCTGACAGAGGCTGACAGGAACATCCTTCTGAAGCTGGGGAGGCTGGCGTTTGAACATCTGGAGGAAGGAAACATCATGTTCTACCAAGAAGACCTGGAGCAGTGTGGTCTTGATGTCACAGAAGCTTCGCTGTACTCAGGAGTTTGTACAGAGATCTTCAGAAGAGAGTGTGTGATCTTCCAGCAACCAGTCTATTGCTTTGTTCATCTGAGCGTTCAGGAGTTCCTGGCTGCCGTCTACATGTTCCACTGTTTCACCAACAAGAACAGGGAGGTGATGAAGAGGTTTCTGGGAAATGTAATTTTCAAAGCTGATCAACACAGGTCTCTTAATGTTTTCTTGTACAGAGTTTTGGAAAAGTCCCTGAGAAGTAAAACAGGCCACCTAGACCTGTTTGTTTGCTTTCTTCATGGCCTCTCTGTGGAGTCTAACCAGAAACTTTTAGAAGGCCTGCTGGGTCAGACAGAGAACCATACAGAAACCATCAAGAGAGTCATCAAGAACCTCAAGAAGGTGAACAGTTTTGGTACTTCTCCAGACAGATGCATCAACATCTTCCAGTGTCTGATGGAGCTGAACGACCTCTCAGTTCATCACGAGATCCAAGAGTTTCTGAAGTCAAAGAACACATCAGGAAAAGTCCTCTCTGAGATCCAGTGCTCAGCTCTGGCCTACATG